TGAATGACATGCAAGAGTCTTCTGCTCAAAGTGGAATATTGGGCCAGTGTCAACTCATATGGGCCGTGCTTGTAATCTTGTCTTAGTGTTTCTCAGTGTTTTGGGCCGAGTTTGTTAGCTTGTCTTTCTTTGTATTTCTTTCTGACTTGGCTATGTAGCCTGGATACATGTTGACATTCTGTATGCTCGTGTGTGGCAATTTTTCAACGTAATAAATTATTCAGTTTTTTGTCCAACATGGGCCAGTACATAGACCCGATTTGTTTCGTCTGTCTAGCCCTAAACCTGCTTCTTCTTTGCAATCTTGGTTCATTGATCCCTTCACCGTCGTGTTCATCTCTCTGTCTGTCACCTAATAATTGCATTGTCGATTAGAAACATCACAAATCATCATTCTTCTCTTCCAAGATTCACCATGACATAAACCGAATCCATATACATGATCCTCAGCTTCCGCAATCAATATGAATCATCCACTCTATCTTTACCCATTGGACACCCAAGCTTTAACCCTAGTCGCTCAGCCGCTCATCGAAAGCACAAATTATGTTATCTGGAATCGCACCATGAGAATGGCTCTTAGAGTGAAGAACAAGATCGTCTTGATCGACGATTCTTGCAAGAGAGAATCCTAAAATGAGGCACTTCGAAGTTAGTGGGACTGATGCAATGTAGTCGTCCTCTCGTAGCTAATTAACTCAGTTTCTAAGGAGATTGTAGCTAGTATTACCTTCTTTGAAAATGCCCAATACGTTTGGAATGATCTTCGAGAGCAATTTAATGTCACCGATGGAACGAAAATCAACAATCTTCATCCTTTCATCAACACACTTAGTCAAGGAGGTACATTCGTTTCAAGTTACTTCACAAAGTTGAAAGAACTTTGGGAAGAATATTCTACAATTATTCCCCTGCTTACCTGTAAATGTCACTCTTTCGTTGAATATGCCAAGAACATTCAATGATTAAAACTCTTTCAATTCCTCACAGGACTCAACAACTCCTATCAATCAATCAGAAGCAAGATTCTCCTCATAAAGCCCTTACCATCAATTAATCAAGCATATTCTATAATTTCACAAGAAGAAGTGGAATGCTCCATTTCATCCTCGTCCCTTCAAACATTCGATTACTCAACTTCAACTACAACTACAAGAGGTAGAGGATGATATGCAAGGGGCCGTTATAAGACCAATTCCTCAAATGAGTATTCTTACTACCATAGAAAGGACCACATGAGGGATAATTAATTTCATATTATTAGATTCCCTCTAAATTTCCAAGGAGGAAAAGGACGAGGACATCAAGTTAGTTGAACAAATCAAATTCAAGCTTCCACTTTCCACAGTGTCTCCAAGCCACAACAAGACTTTTCATTTGATTGCCAGCTTTTGACTCCAAATAATTATGAGAAGATTATTGATAATTTGAAGAAGGAAATCCAATCTCTTTCAACCAAGACACTCTTAGTTGGAGGAATAACTACAAAAGACTTGGGCAACTCTTCAAGTTCAGATTTCTATTCCTTTTCTCATACCTTTACACATAATGCACAACCACATTGGTTATTAGACTTAGGAGAATCTTGTCACATAGTAAGCAAATTATCTTTTCTCGATACTTATCAAGAATACAATGGGTCTCCACTTAAAATAAAGATACCTAATGCTGATAAACTCACAGTTACACACATTGGTAATGTTAGGATTTTTGAAAATATTGTTTTGGAAAATGTTCTATATCCACCTGGAATTTATTATGACTTGATATCTATATCTCACCTAACAAAAGATCTGGAATGTGTGGTCGCATTTTTTCCTAATGTATGTGTATTATAGGATCTCTCTAATGGCATAACCAAATGATTGGTAGAAAGGAATCTAGTCTATATTGGGTAGATGAAAGCTTGACTTTACCATCTAATATTCATACTAGCAATTTTATTTTTTATGATAATATATGATACTTAAGATTAGGGCACCCATTTGACTCAATTCTTAAACATGTATTTCCATTACAAGGCCAATTATCTTCTATCAATTCTTCTAGTTGTGATATTTGCTTTAAAGCAAACCAGTCTCGATTGCCTTTTCCTTTCAATCAAATAAAAACTGCCTGTTGTTTTGATTTGCTTCACATTGACATTTGGGGTCCTTATAAACACCCTACTCACCAAGATTACAAATTTTTTCTCACTATAGTTGATGATTTCTTTTGAACAACTTGGATTTATCTCATGCATAACAAACGTGAAACTTTTTGTTATCTAAAACAATTCATCCACCTCATAACAAATCAATTTTCTACTAAAATTAAATGTATTCGAAGTGACAATGGAGTTGAATTTTTCAATCATGATTTTTTAACATATTTCACTAAAAATGGGATTATTCATGAAACTAATTTTGTACATAACCCATAAAAAATGGGGTTTTAGAAAGAAAACATAGGCATGTGTTTGAAGTTTCTCAAAGTCTAATATTTCAGGCTAATGTGTCTATTCAGTTTTGGGGGGAAGCCATTAGAATTGTTGTTTATATCATTAATAGAATTCCCTTAAAGATCATGAATTTTAAAACACCATATGAAATATTATACAAAAGGCAGCTTGAGTTGTTAAATATGAAAGTGTTTAGATGTCTGGCATGTGCCAAGATTCTTGGGAGGTTAGATAAATTTGAAGCTAGGTTTATAGAATGTGTGTTTCTAGGATATCCCATCGATCAAAAGGGATATATTTTTTATGACATTAAAAATCATGACATTTTTTTTGTGAATCATGATGTTGTTTTTCTTGAAAATAAATTTCCTTTTCTAGAACAGTCATGTAGTGTTAATCAACAGAATTAGGTACATTTTCAAGACCTTTTTATCTTTGATGACATTCCTGGTCCTATTATGTCTTCTAATTTGCCCTTGCAATCTGTTAGTAAGCCTATGAATCAAATCAAGATAATAACATGTTTAATAGTAATCTTGATTCTATTAAGAAAACAAACAGCAACCCAGATATTAAAAAACCCATTGGACATAGGAATCCTCCCAATCGGGTTAGAGATTATGATTGCTCTGATGTGGACTATTTGAACAAAATAGATAGGAAAAGAAATATGAAGATCTTGTATCCTATGCAACATAGTATTAGCTATGCAAACATTTTTGAATCCTACAAAGGCTTCATAGTTTTAACATACGATATAAATGAACCTGATACTTTTGAAGAAGTAGTAAGAGATAAAAGATGGATTAGAGAAATGCAAAATGAGATAACTTCTTTAGAAAATAATAGGACATGGAAAATAGTGGATTCACCCTCAGGAAAGAAAGCTATAGGCTGCAAATAGGTCTTTAAGAAGAAGCTTAATGTTGATGGAACCTTAAATAAGTTAAAAGTCAAGTTAGTAACTAAAGGTTTTAGTCAAATAGAAGCTATAGACTATTCTAAAACTTTTTCGCTTGTTGTGAAAATGACCACTGTTTGGTCAGTTTTAGCCATTGCTGTATATAATAAATGGGACATGATTCAAATGGATGTTGATAATGCTTTTCTTCAAGAGGATGTAGATCAAGAAGTCTCCATGAAAATTCCTATGGGATTTAGTAAACAGGGGGAGAAAAAGGTTTGCAAACTAAATAAATTCCTATATGGTTTAAAACAAGCAATGAGACAATGGAATGTAAAGCTGTGTGAAGCATTAATTTCTAGTGGTTTTGTTCAAAGCAAACATGATTACTTGCTATTTACCAAACAAAATAAAGATGAGTTTATTATTGTTCTAGCTTATGTTGATGATCTTGTTATTACTAGAAACAGTCATGAAGGGATAAAGAAAACTATAGATTTCATGCATGCTAATTTTGAAATGAAGGATTTGGGGTTATCAAAATATTTCCTTGGCATTGAGGTTGCTAAATTAGAAAATGGTTTAATACTAAATCAAAGGAAATATATTTTAGACTTGATAGCTACTATTGGTTTAGAAGCCTTAAAACCGAGACATGTTCCTATAAATCCAAGCTTAAAGCTTCACAGTGAGCTTAAAAAGGGAGGAAAAGATGACCTATTAAAGGACCCTACTAGATATAGATGATTAATAGGAAAAGTATTATATTCGACCACAACTATAGGCCTAATATAAGCTATACAATCTAGTTATTGATTAAATTTATAAGCACCCCAAATAAATCACATCTAAAGGTTGCTTTAAATGGTATCAAATATCTTAAAAAGGACCTTAGTAGAGGTCTCTCCTTTCCTTCTTTTGAAAACATGAAGTTAGAAAGATATTGTGATTTAGATTGGGCTTCATGCCTAGAAGCTCATAGATTTGTTACAGGATTTTTAGTTAAACTAGGTGGGGCCATTATTTCCTGAAAAATTGAAGAAACAAACTATTGTTTCAAGATCTTCTACTGAAGTAGAGTATAGTGTCATGGGAAGTGTTGTGTCTGAGATTATATGACTTACTGGTTTATTTACAAATTTACATGTTTATGATTTAACTATTGTGTGTATTCATTGTGACAGTAAAGATGTAATTCAAATTATTTCAAATCCAGTTTATTATGAAAGAATAAAACACATTGAGATTAACTGTCATTTTGTATGCAAAAAGCTTTAAAGTGAGTTGATTAGTTTAAAGCATGTGGTGTTAGGAGAACAATAAAAAAATATTTTAACCAAGGCTCATGGTAGAAAAATGCATGAGCATGTGTTGCACAAGTTAGGAACCTTTAACATTTTTTGATCCAACTTAAAAAGGGAGTGTTGAAAGTTGAATAGTTGGGCCAGTGTTATGTAGGCCGTGCTGACATTCTCAGTGTTTTGGGCCGAGTTTGTAAGCTTGTCTTTCTTAGTATTTCTTTTGACTTGGCAATGCAGCCTGGATACATGCTGACATTCTGCACGCCCGTGTGCGGCAATTTTTCAACATAATGAATTATTCAGTTTTGTTCTGCTTTCCAACATCTTCCATTGTGTCACAAACCGTCTCTTGAAATTGGTACGTCCTCGAACTTTCCAGAGAAAACTCGGACCAATATAACCAAATCCTCCCCTTAGAACGTTCCAGACACACATCACTTCTATAAACCCCCTTTCGAGTCCTTTCTTATTTCGTTCACTGCTTCATCACCTTCTCTCAAGCGTAACTTTTGTCGATCTGTGTTCAGCTTCATTGATATTTTTCTTGGACTATGCCAAGCCGATCAACCGGAACCATAACCCAAGACTGGGAACCGGTGGTTCTACACAAGAACAAGCCTAAGGCCCAGAATCTGCGCAACCCAAAGGCCGTGAATCAGGCACTCCGATCAGGAGCAGAGGTCCAGACGACCAAGAAGTTTGACGCCGGATCGAATAAGAAAAACGCTCCGGTTGTCAACACGAGGAAGCTGGATGAAGAAACCGAGCCGGCGGCTCTGGAGAAGGTACGCGCAGAGGTGAGAACAGCCATACAGAAGGCTAGGCTGGAGAAGAAGATGAGCCAAGTGGATCTTGCGAAGCAGATTAACGAGCGGCCACAGGTGGTGCAGGAGTACGAGAACGGGAAAGCGGTGCCGAATCAGGCCGTGCTGGCGAAGATGGAGAGAGTTCTAGGCGTGAAACTCAGAGGAAAGATCAGCGGCAAGTAAGGATTGAAGGACTCGAAGATTGCCATGCCACCATTTAGCCATGTTCAGTTGATGTGGACGGTAAAAAGATGTAAAATGAAAATTAGCGTGATCAACGGCCTGTGAAATTAAACATGTAATATGTAGAAAGAGATTCTGTGACTGTTTTGATTTACTTGTAATGAAACCTTTTGATGGAGGTATATTTTGTGAATTGTATGAGTGTGATTGAGTTCATCAGTGAATGATTTTGATACGACTGTTAATCTTTAAACAAATGCAGTATTCTGGAAACGGATCCACTCATCTGAAGGTGCTGGATGGAGACAAAACTCAGATCATGACAAAGATTTCGTGAAACGAGCAGAGGATTCTAGAAACTCATTCAAGCTCGAGACAATTCAAGTTGGCGAACATCATTTACTGATAGCATCCAGATGAGAAAAATATATGCAGTGATGTAAATATTTTCAAGAACAAGAACCTGCACTCAAAATATTTCTCTTGCGCCCTGTTCTCCACAGGCCATTCTTGCGCCATTCTACACCTTGGATTTTATCGCTCCTGTTGCTTGTGTTTATCAATTTCAAATATTGGTTTTGTTCAAGAAGTTAAATTATTTTTAATATAGTTTTTAAAATTATTTTTAAAATAAATAAAATAAAAATTTATTTGATTAAAAAATGATTAATAGTAATAATTATAAATAATTAATAATAGTAATTAATAATAAAATTGATCAAGTTAATTATAATTTTAATAATTAAATATAATTTATTTTAAAAATAAAAATAAAGTCAAAACAATTTAAATTTATTTTTATTTTTTTGATTTTGAAAATAAAAAATAAAAATAATTTTAGAAACAACTAAATAAAAAATACTTATTTAAATAAATTTTTTATTTTTTTATTTTTAAAAATAAAAAAATTTTTTGAAAGAGAAACACAAACAGGTCCTTGCATTTTAGATTAATTTTTTAATAGGATGATAAGTTTTTAGAAAAATAATTAGCTCAAAAGCCTGATACACTTGGTTAAATTTTGGAAATTAATTGTTCGAATGCAGTATACTCAATTTTTAAAAAAATTGGATAAACCTAGGAGGCGAGAAAGAGAGGGAGGCACAGGAGAGTCATTGTTCATGAAAAAATTATCTATAAGTTTTGTAGAGCTGATTTATTTATAAATAAATTTTGTAAAATTTAAAAGTTACAAGTAAATCACTTGACTTAAATATAATTTGAAATTTGATAAAAAAAAATAATGTTCTTATTAAAAAAACACATACACACACTACATCATTTAAATAATTTATAATTACATCATTAATAATTTACAATTATAATTTAAATTTTTTATAGTTGTAACTTCATATATTTAATAATTAAATTAATAATTACATCATTAATAATTTACAACTATAATTTAAATTTTTTTATAGTTATAACTTCATATATTCAATAATTAAATTGATCAATTTAATTATTGAATATGTGAAGTTACAGTTGTAAAAAGTTAAAATTATAGTTGTAAGTTATTGATGAAGTAATTATAAATAATTAATGTTAAACTTTGTTAGTAACTCATGATTATTTAATTATTTTATATGTGAAGTTATAGTTATAAAAAATTAAATTATAATTATAAATTACTAACAAAGTAGTTATAAATTAATTATTTAATTGACATAATATGTGTTTAATAAGGATATTATTATCTTTGCATTTTAAATTACACTTAAATCTTAAAGATTTGACTGTAGTTTTTATATTTTGTGAAATTTATTTATAAATAAGTTTGCTTCACAGGATTTATATATAATTTTTCTTTGTTCATGCATATACAACATCTTTTCGCTTGATTATATTGCTTGCATGTACTATTACTCAGAGCCCAATAATTCAAATGAATTGGGTTTATTTGGGCTGGTTTTAAAATACTCGAGTTTATAAAAAAAATTTATATAGTTAAATTCGACTATAACCTCTCAAGCTTTTGAACTTGTTTGATTTGATCCAAATACTTGAAATTTTTTAAAATTATCTTTTATCTTTTCTAAAATAATTTTAATTTTTAATTTAAAAATTAAAATGTCAAACAAATACACTCTAAAATTAAAATTAATATGCTGGCTGGAGATGTGTCTTATGTAAATGCTTCATTCTCAACTTTGAAAGAATTGGACGAGCTGCGAAAGAAGTGGAATAAGACCTTTAAACCAAGCGTTAAGATTTTTTAGGCTTATTCAAATTAATCAAAATTATTGGTTCTTAGTATATAAGATCAAATAGATTAATTTTCCATTTATGTGAATATTGAAAAATATGGAATGTCATAGTTATATAAACACCAAGAAAAATAGGAATTTGGCCAAAGTCATAATATATCCATAATAAATGTAGGACATGCATGCATTGATTAATAAATTTAAGGACACACATGTATTCATGAATTAATTGAATACATGAATGTGAGATAGAATTAAAGTCAATATTTCTTGATAAGTTTAAGTCATGAAGGCTATATGTGTGTGTGTAAATAGAGGGCTGTTGGGATCTCCCTTCATTCCCCACCAAGTTCGTGTGGTTCTCATTATTTCACAAATATTCATAGCTTTATTTCAGCGAGAAGAGAGAAGGTTGAGGTAATATTCTAACTTCTAACCTTCTTCTGAGTTCTGACACTTTTGTGCATTTGATTATGTAGAAAAACAAATCAAACATGCCTCGAATATCTGATTTATTTTGTTTCTTAAATAGATGTGTGAAGGCTAAGTTTAGACTTAGTGGGATTTAGATTTCAATTTGAAATTGAATTTGAGATAAATGCTATTTGGATCCATGCATACAAATTTAAGGATTTAGATTTTGATCTAAATCTAATTAAATCCATATTTATTATAATTTTTTTATAACATTAAATTTATGATACACTCTAGTTATCTGAAAAATGTCATCAACTTTTCTATAATTTTCCGTCTTCATCGTTATATATTGGTATTTTCATCACTTTCATGTATGCTCTTATTTATCATTCTTGTCTTTCACAAGGTAAGCCCATCGTTTCTGATCTGTTCTTGTTTCAAATTTTAGTTTGTCACTCTCAATCTCAACTTGTTTCTTTATGCTATCTTAATTTTTTTTAAGTACATAAATTTAATGATTGTATATAATAATCAAATTCAAATGTTATGCCTTGTAACTTGTCAATTAGGTTGAGTATTAACAGATTCAACCCTTTTTAAATAAGATATTAATTTCAAATTTTATAAATAAAGAATCATACTAAAACATAGCTTTTCCTCATATACCAACCTAATATCAAGTCAGATTAATTATTAACAAGACATAGTTAGGGTTAGGCTTGTAACTTATAAGATTGTGGCTTAAATTTCACTATTGATGTGAGGATTTTGTTGATAAATAATTTAAAAATATTTTTATAAACACTCTTCAAGCCTAAAAATATGCCTTGGATGGCTTTGGTAAGTTCCCTAGAGTCAACTTTGCTAAACTTTTCTTCAAAAAAAAAGAGAAATAATTTATTTCTCAATTTATGTGTGTCATCCTTGCACAGTGACAATGCCAATTTTTTCTATGTCGATCCATTTTTGTCAAATATTCCCAAAGGCACATAGTTTATTAGTGGTAGATCTTTGCCCTGACTTGGGTGAAACTAGTCTAGACTACTAATAATTTCTCTAATTAAAGTGAGGTAAGTCCAAGATACCATATGCTTTATGGAAAAAACATACAAGATAGTTCATTAGGGAAAAAATGTAATATCCTCTTTCACGAAGAGGAAATAAAAGAATTGAGTAAGGATTTCATGGATACATTCTTTGTATTGGCCATAAATTGGTGCTCCAAAGTGGCACCAAAAAAGGAAAAAGAAACATCACATGAAACCAAGAATGCATATTACACACCAATTCATTATAGTTGTTAAAAGCATGATCTTCTTCTCTCTCTTTGTATATATATACTCTTTTTTACTTCAACTTTCTGATTTTTGCCCTCATAACGTAACGTGACAGGTAATTTAGCAGCTACAGAAATGGCAAGTTTATCTGATATTGATGTCCATTCTCATCCCTTCTCCAACATTCCAACCATAAAGTTCACCAAACTTTTCATCAATGGACAATTCGTTGATTCCATTTCAGGTTCTAACTTTTCCTTTTCTGTTTTTTTTTTTTTTTCTCTGTCTCTAAAATTCCTTTCCCCCGTTAACTCTGTCTTCTTCTCATAAGGAATACAGTTTACTTTTGCAATAAATAAATATTTTGTAAATTTGTAAGAAGTTTATATGAGATTTACATCTAGTTTTGTTCTTATCATAATCATAGATATTTTTATTTTCAAAACTTAACATTAATATATTTAAATGTTGATAGAGTGCAATAATATAATATTATTCACATAGCTGATCCTGCTTAGATTTGTTGTTGTTTTGTAAAAAAATTACATAATTTTAAGGACTGAAAATGTTAATATAATTCTTTAATATTTCATATTTTTTGACTCAAAAAGAGCGCGTAGTTCTGTGCTGTAATTGCCACTTATGATCTTATCCAAGTCAACTTGTAGTGGAAACTTAAGACTTAAAACTGAAGGCAATGAATTAAACTTAATGACTGCTGCTACAATTAAAATTTGCTAAGCACAATGGTGGATTGTATATGAATAGAAATTAGGGGTTCAAATCTACTTATAGATCAAAATAAAATGCTAAGGACAAATATGATATAGGTAATTATTTTTTTGCCAACCTTATAGATAATTATTAATTTACTACCTCTCTCTGCATGATATATGGAATTCGAAAATACAGTCATATTATTCATATTTTTTTATAAATTTTATTAAATATATTTTGATTATATAGAATTATAAAAAGTAATAAATTTTTTACATAGATTTCAGGTAAATTTTTTATTTATATATATATATATATACATACATTAAATATTTAATGCTGATAATTGCGCTGTCTGGATGTTTCTTTTTTAAAATGTAAATAGGAAAGACATTGAGACTGTGGACCCAAGAACAGAGGAAGTGATCACCGAAATAGCAGAGGGGACTGAAGAAGACGTTGATCTCGCCGCGAAGGCGGCACGTGAGGCTTTCGATTCTGGTCCATGGCCACGCATGACCGGCTCTGTACGTTTATGCCTTCGCCTTCTTTTTCTTCTTTTGATACTTAACAATTAGCAATCCAAATGGATATATAGTTCGAAGCCGTTATTGAAGTAGCAGTTTAGTAACTAGCAAGTACCATGTTAAATGTTCGATGAAATACCAAGCAGGAGAGAGCGAAGATAATGATGAGATGGGCCGATCTAATTGAAGAGAACGTAGAGGAGATAGCTGCGTTGGACACCATTGATGGGGGTAAGCTATACACGACATGTAAGGCGGTAGACATTCCCCATGTAGCTAGTCTTCTTCGTTACTATGCGGGTGCTGCGGATAAGATTCATGGAGAGGTGTTGAAATCGTCAAGGAATCTTCA